GGACAGTCGTGTCAAGAGGAGATCAACGGATACTTCTGTGGCTAGTGAACCTATCGCCATGATAGAAGAACTACGGGCACAATGTCAATCCTTACGTAATCAGTTGAACCACATGGAAGCATATGCTGCATCAAGAGATCAACTGATTCATGACATCGAGATCAGATTCACTGAGTATCTTCAGGAACACAACCAGAATGTATTTGATGAAGTCAACGCACTCAATCATAGATTGTCATGTTCCGCAAATGAGGTTGCAGAATATCAAGCAGAACTAATGGTAGCATCTCAGGAAGACGAAGGTGCAACAATACGCATCCAAGACCTTGAACGCCGAGGTGCCCTGATGGAACATGGTGCAAGACGGATCCATCAACGTCGTATGGAGATCCAGGAAGAGTACAAGGATGAAGTACATCACCTTCAAGGACTATTGGGTAATACGGAGGCAAGACTGCAACAACTTCATCAAACCAATGTCTTAACTACCGATATTGCCAACCGATTGTACAATGAAGGTCAAGAAATGCAGACGGATTTCCAGAACTCAATCATGGAATATCGCAATCGATCCGAAATGGCATCCTTCTCCAGCAATCAACTTGAAGTGATTAGCCAACAACAATCAATTGCTGTTCATGAATTATCTGAACGGAATCAGCTATTGAGTGAAGCTCTAGTTCAGTCTCGTAAACAGGCCGAGTTGTATGAAAGCAGTATTGAAGAGATCACTAGAGAATCTAGAAAGAAGGTTTTCGAGGCAAATCAGGCCAAATTGGACAGTGATCTGAAGCACCGAAATACTGAACATGATACTGTCAGAAGAATTGCATCATACAGGAACCATGAGGCCGAAGCGATATCACACCTGAGGCTTGAATCACAGGCTAGTGCAAATTCGATCGCAAGGGCAGAGCACTATGAAGAGCTCTACACCAATGAGCAGGAGATGAGCTGTGAATTGAAGGATGAGATCAAATTGCAGAACGTGAAGTTGCGAAGATCATTGACTCAGGGCACTACGACCGACGGTCGTGGCCCCGATGAGATGCTTGTTGAAGATCTACGTAATCAAGCCAAAATCGCTCAAATCAGGGTTCAGGATCTAGACCATGAAGTTCATGAATGCTTACAGGAGAACATGTTGTTAAAAGAAAGATTGACTGAAGTTGCGGATGTAGGGGCGTCGTCCTTCTCCAACGCTGAAGTCCGAACTTTAAGATCTGAACTAGAAAGTGAGCGTAAAATGAAATTGGCTAGTGGTGTTCAACAATATGAGAGATCATGCATGTTCATGGGGGAAATTCAGGATAGGGATGAAAAGATTGGTATCAAGAATTCTGAGATTATTGACATGAAACGTCACTTAGATGAACTGAGAAAGAGTCTCAAGGATTCTGAAACATCTATGTCTAGGGTCAGCCCTGACACACTTCCCTATTCGGCAGGCATCCCCAACTATGATCTCGCATCAAGACTGGTCATCGACAAACTGGAGAATGAGGTGAGTGAGGCTAACTCTGAGAACGCTATCCTAAAATCTTGGGTATCGCAGATCGACAAGGAGTTGACCCACGAGACAAATGTTGCTCAATCCTATCGCGGACATGCTGGACTTTCTCAACAGCAACCTTCTCAATCGAACAAAAGGATCACCGATCTGCTGAAAGAAGTTGACAACAAGATCGCCGATGGAACTGAGAAGGACTATTACAAGCCTCCGAGCGGATGGGGCGGTCCGCCTGACCCTGATGGACCTCCTGACCCTTTCGGGCCCAACGGTCCAGGACCACCTCCAGAACCTCCTGGTTTGCCTTCAGTTCGAGGATCACAACGTGACTCAGCAGATGACATCTCCACAGCGGCGTACACGGCAGAAGAAGTACCGAGAATGTCAAGACGGGAGGCTGACAAAGTCTATGTTAGCCCATGGCCGAAGCAACAGAACCTTGGAGTTTGGCAATCAGATCTCATCAAGAGTGTTGTTCTTGCCGCGAATGATGGAGACAAAGCTGCGTGGGAAGCATGGTTACAGCCGGCTATAAGACCAAATCCTGACATTGAGCTGTTGAATGACAGTGGTGGGCAACGATACCAGTCAATCGACGCCAAGTTGTCAATTGCATTGTCAAACGTTATAGCCCAAGCCGGTGATGTTGCTCGTCATGTAGCAATTAAACTGAGATTGAGAACACAGAGTCATAGCCGAAGAGGAACCTATGTTATGGGACGAGAAATCTTGGCTATGATCCTGGAACACTTCAGAACCCCAGGTCAACGAGAGACAGCCTTCACCATGGAGCACATCGTATCGATGAAGTATCTCGGTGACTCAAACCTGGAAGTGTTCTACGAGAAATGGATGGAGATGGTATCAAACATGATGCCGGATGATGTACCTCCTGATGATTGGCTTCGTGACGCTCTATACAAGAAGATTCGAAATTCGAGTCTTATGATGTTCGACATCAAGCAGTACGAATCATGGATTGAAGGAGACCAAAGACGAAGCTATCGCTACCTGTTGGACGTCATCGAAAGGCACATCTCCAGAATCAGAGAAGACAAGCATGTGGCCGCTAGAGAGAAGTATGCAAGAGATTTTGCAGGTGGTGGCAAACCCACTGCTCCTGCACCGAATCCAACTGCTGCTGCACCAGATGCCAATCCGAAAGCGAAGCCTAAAGCCACTCCCAAGGAGAAGGCAGCACCTAAGGCAAAGGCCAAGGCTGAGGCAGCTCCAGTTCTACCATCACCTCAGCCAAAGCAGCATGCAAAAGGAAAAGGAAAAGGTCAAGGGAAAGGAAATGGTCGACCAAACAGCCGAAGTGCTAGTCCTAGATCCAAGACGAAGATCCCATGCCACTTCCATTTCATCAAGAAAGCATGCAGAAAAGGCAAAGATTGTGAATACAGTCACGACCAAAAGGTGTTCGATGCGAACAAGAACGCGAAAGGTAATGGTCGAAAGCCAGGAACTCCGAGAAGTCAATCTCCAGCGAAC